ATCAATAATAACTTTTAGAAGCAGCCAAGAATAATTATTCCCGATATAGAGAGAGTAAAAGGACCATATAGGCCAGTGTTTCCCAAACTTGTGTCTCCAGCTGTTTTTGGACTACAACTCCCATCATCCCTAGCTAGCAGGACCAGTGGTCAGGGATGATGGGAACTGTAGTCCAAAACCAGCTGGAGACCCAAGTTTGGGAAAGACTGATATAGGCTGTGTGGGATGAAGCACCGCCACTCAGTTGACAGCTTCAATAATCTCTTTAATAGAGAGTCACACATGAGCTACTTTGGGACACAAATGGCTTTAGTTAAACAGCTGCATTAGGTACACAACACCTCTAGGCAAAAAAGAAAAGAAAAGTAGTAGCTCCTACAAAACTGCATGTGATGTGTTGAAAGAAATATAGTGAGAAGGTGGGGGGGGGGGGACAATTCCGTGGTAAGAATAGCTGGAACAAAAGTGTAATTCGGGGATGGAGCACCTCCAGCCTACAGACCAAATATGGACCTCCAGAACTGTCCCCCCCCACACACACAAGGCAATTTTCCTGACATCGTGCCCACCTGCCCCAATGTCATGGCCATGGGAACTGGCTGACACAACCAAATCTGGTGGAAAACAGAATGCTTGTACATCAGCCAATGTTTGGGGAGTTCAATCCTGATTGGGCAGTACGTGTGTGTGTCCCCCAACTCTAGTGGGCCCACTTTGACAGGTGGGTGGGACAACCCACCTGCCAATCACTAAACATCAATAGGACATGTTCCATTAAAAGAAGAAGTAGTAGTAGATAGATTCAGCTGTGGGAGAAACTTGTCATGCACTACAAATAATGTCCCAACATTTGCGTCAGGTTAACGTTTAATTCAAAATCTGCATTGATAAATGACATGATTCATGCAACTTTCAATATGAGAGTTTTAGCCTTTTTTTTTAAAAAAAAAAGGATGCCTTGGAGGTGGACAGTGAGTGATGTTCCCAAATTGCACTTTCACATATGAAAATATTCCACTACATGATGACAAAAAGAGCTGAGGACTAAGCTCATGGGTGGCATTTTACTTTGGAAAATCACTCCCTTCAAGTTGCAAACTGTGACCCTCTCCCCTTCACCAGGGTCACTTTAAATATCAAGTTTTCCATTTTAATTTAATGCTTAATATTTTTGGGTTGCTACACACTGTTATTTGATTCCAGGTTTCTAAGACTTCTGGACACTATGATTAATTTTACTCAAGTAAGATTGTGGGAAGGAGAGGGGAAAACTAGAATCCAATTCAGTATGTGAACACTGCAGGCTGTATCAAAGCACTGAGATAGCATGCTGATATTTGCAGCCCTAAATGCCTAGAATTTGCTTCTTTGCCCCTGAATCAAAACAAAAGCAGAAGCTGAGCAATCTAACCAAAGAAGTTAGTCAGAATTCTCCCATTTCCATGTTCCACTCCTACACCATAACTGAAGTCTGGCTTGCAAAGAGCAATTTTTGTCTGCTTGCAACCAGGGAGAGAGCTTCTGTGAAATGGAATGCATAATGAGGCAGTTCCACTCCAGTTGCATTTTCAAAAGCATGCTTTAAAAAAAAAAAGAATTCTCCTAAGCATGAAACTAGCACACTATGGAGAAACCTCCCTCTGAAGAAATGCCATGGTGCATCTGTAGCAGCACAATCAGACGCCTTCACCTGCCCCAGCTGCAACAAAACATGTCTCTCCCTGTCTCCCATATCAGACTGCACAGCACAACAGGCGCTGCAACCTTCCAACAGTTTGGAAGCACACTCTTCCATAGTCTTCAGAGACAGATGGATGCCAACAAGAAGAAGAAGAAGAGTTTGGATTTGATATCCCGCCTTTCACTCCCTTTAAGGAGTCTCAAAGCGGCTAACATTCTCCTTTCCCTTCCTCCCCCACAACAAACACTCTGTGAGGTAAGTGGGGCTGAGAGACTTCAGAGAAGTGTGACAAGCCCAAGGTCACCCAGCCGCTGCGTGTGGAGGAGCGGGGAAGCGAACCCGGTTCCCCAGATTACGAGACTACCGCTCTTAACCACTACACCACACTGGCTCTCAAATTTTTTAACAGAGAAACCCGAGAGGTAAACTTGGGTCAGGGTTGGTGCCAGGCTTGAGCAAGCTCTTAGGCAAAAGTGCTGCCTTTGGGGGGTCACTCACAGCATTTTCACCACAGAATGGTGTCACTTTGGGGGGGGGGGCCCTTGCACCAGCAAACCCACAAAGCTACTAAGTTACTCTGCCAATGTCAGGAATCACATGATCGGAAATGGAGGCCATATGGCACCACTCAACTAGCTTTCTACTTGCAGGGCATTTTTGTTTTTTCTTTTAAAAAACTTAAGTTAATATTTTGGAGTGGTGCAATTTGTACTCTTTCTTTTGCTGTATATGTAAAAACAGGCCAAATAAATTCTGTGTGAGGGGCAGCCCAAGTGGTGGCCCCCTCAAACAATTACTCTAGCTAATTCTGCCAAATCCTAGGCACACATCTACTTGGAAGACAGTTGCACTGAGTTCCATAGGAGCTGCTCCCAGGTAAACGTGCACAAAACTGCAACTGAACCTACTTCTGAATAGTAAGTCCCGCTGAGATACTGCTTTGTATTTGGTGCCTCCCAAAAGGCATTGTCACAGCTGACACAATTCCACAAAGAGAACTGCATGTGCAGGGTTTTTCCTTTGTGCACAGGACTCAACCCTGTAGGCAGGCCATTGCATGCTAAAGTCACAAGCGGAACATCCTTACTGAAATCAGAGCTATGCTATTCAGTTTAACAGATGTCCGGTTATTTGCTCATGTGGGGAAAACCAGGCTGCTCAAAATGTGTAGATATTTTTTACTATATCTGTTTGGTAAAGGTTTCTCTTCTAGGGAAAAAAAGGGGGGGGGAGGAATCCATATGGTAATGTTTCTCATTCTTCCCGACCTTTGCTGCCAAGCTGCCTCACAATCACCTGCAGGGCAAACAGAAGCAAGACTCTCTGGATTGGATTTCATAAACAGCCTCTCCTACAACAGAGGATTCTACCACATCGAAAACAATTCTGAATTCCTTGTTGCAGCTACACTCCAAGCGCTTGCATCTCTGACTGTTCTCAACACATTCTGTTGAAAGTCAAATCAGTGTATTCAGATTTTTACTGTTTTTAAAGTATCACATATTACATTCTCTCTCCCCGCCCCCAACCAAGAACACTGACATTTGCATCAGAGGCTATGTCCTCCAAACATCACAGAGACACTACAAAGGACTGAGTTCAATTACGTTGCCTCTTAAATGATACAAATCAAGTTTAGCCAGAACGCTTCACTCCACCCTCAAACCTCCCAAACTATGCCAGTGCACGCTTAAAGGCAAAAGTTGAGGTTGGCACTTTTATGAACTAGAAGACGGCCAGCAAATTATACCTTGAACATAAAGACTCTGGCAGAGAGAGAGAGAGAGAGATGGGGCTTTAATACTTCCAAAACTATGGCAATGGGCCATTAGCAATATTCTCCCCATTATTTATTGCCCAACATTACCCAAGGAAAGTTGCAGTTATCCAGAAAAAAGTTATCTATTTATCCCACGCAGGAGCGACCAGACATTTTTTTCTCCAACATTGCCAGTTGCCACAATCCCACTTCCCGGTTTCCACCCAGGAATCTACACTACTAATAGCAACACCAAACATCATTTTGAAATAGGTCAGCTGGGTACCGATTTATTTATTTTTTTGAAGGGTGGTAAGAGAACCACACTGGGAGCCTGGTGGGTGTGAATTTAAGGGAAGGAAACTGCATCCCACACTCATCAAGCTGCTTCAAATACAGTGAGGTGGATAGTTCCCTCCCAATTTAGCCATGGGATTTCTCAAATAATCCTAAAGAAGGGAGAGGAAGGAGTAGCAGCAGCACTAATAAAAAGCGTTTCCCCTGAAGCCATAATCCGAAGTGATTAGGAACAACCATTTTTAAAATGTATACCTGGATTCATTTCCCGTCCCCTAATTTGGCAGTAACTAGAGATAATTACTCTGGTTCACTCAAACTCCCCTTTCATTGCTCCACAGACCATTTCCATCCTTTGCCTACTCAGCAGATTTCACTCACAGTCTGCCCAGCTACCATTTTAAAGGCATGCAATCCAGAGAAAACTGAAAGCATACTAAATCCGTACACATTTTACAAAAAATACCCGTTGTGTCAGCATCAGTATATATACTTTCCTTTATAATAAAGGGGCTGTTGAAGAGGAAAGCGCTGCAAGAGGGGATATCAATGATCAGCTTTTATAAGATAAGAGGATTCCAACTGCTTCCCTCACAAGGATTTTCTTTAAAAATGCACCATTACATTTAAATACCAGGAGGTTCCTGTTTCACAACCTTTCAGAGAGAGGTAAACTTTTTTAAAAAAAAACAAAAACAAAAAACTGTCTTTGATTTTTAACAAGGGGGGTGGGCTGGTGAGGTTTGCTTTCTTTTTTAAACCCAAATACATTTAAACCCGATTCGAAACAAATTAAAAAATAAATAAAATTCTGAAGAGCACAAACTTTTGAGAAGGGGAGGGAGGAAGAGAGAGAGAGAGAGAGAACAGGCGAAGAACGAGCAGCAATGAAAAGGGGAAACACTCCGACAACAGGGAGAGAGGGAGGGAGGGAGGGAGGCTGGGAAACAAACATAAAGCTTGTTTTTATATTTTTTTTGGTAGATGGCTTTAAAAAAAATTATAATCCTTACCTTGACTGGGCAGCCATAGTGAAGTTTAGCAAGCCGACCGTCTCCTGGCCATCGGAAGGCTTTCTTCGCCCTTGCCCTACCCTCCGCCACCCAACAACTTCCTGTCCATTTGCTGCTGCGCTTTGCGCCCCTGGCTCAGAGAAAACCCCACTTTTACGCGCCCCCTTCCTTTCTCCCCAAAGACTGCTGCTTCCTCGGCTGTAACGCCTCCCTCTCCCTCCCTCCCTCCCTCTGCTAGCTCAGTCCGACACTAATTTGGATAGACATCCGGGCACCCGGGGGCCTCCTCCAGTCCGGCTCGACACATTGCAAGCCAGCTGAGAAGGGAAGGGGGAGGCGGCGGAGCTCGCGGGCTCTGCTGCTGCTGCTGTTGCTCCACAGGTAAGCGAGCCAAGCCCGGGACTGGCTGGCTGGGCTCGCTTACTGAATGGCCATTTGGAGCTCCGGACCGTTCCGGCCTCTGAGCCGACCCATTATGGGGCGCTGGGATGAAGGGGAACTCGGCGAAAGCACCGCGCGCTTCTGGCTGCGCTGCTTTCCCAACGAAGGAAGGGGATTGTTTTGGAGAGCCGGTTCTGAAACGATTCGCACCTATAGCCTCGCCCCCGCCCCCCCCGCGAAAAGTTCGCATGGTACGCTCCGCCTTCCCTTAAATGGACATGTTGTTTTGTCAAGGGCGACGGAACGGGGAGGGTTGGCACCGGGAGGAATGGACAAGCGCGTCTACGGCGAGCCTATCAGAAGGGGAAAGGCGCGCGGCGAGAGCGCACACGCGGACGGGGCCCCGCCTCGGAGGGGGAACGGCGGCTGAGCGCTGCCAAAATACAAATTATTCACACACACACACACACAACCTCACAATGTACAAGCACGCACCAGGCGGGACACGGAGTTCCCTCCTGCCTGGCACTGCTGGCCTCCGCGCAATGCGGGGCGCGCGCGGATAAGAGGCGGCCGCCGCCACCGGGTGGAAAGATACTGGCAACTTTTGATGGTGCGGTGGGCACAAGAGGATCGCCCTCGGGCGCTGCTCCGATGCAGAATCACAGAATTATAGAGTTGGAAGGGATCCCAAGGGTCATCCAGTCTAACCCCCGGGGAACGCAGGAATCTCAGCTAAAGCATGCATGACAGATGGCCATCCAACCTCTGCTTGAAAACTTCCAAGGAAGGAGAGTCCACAACCTCCTGAGGGAGACCATTCCTCTGCCAAACAGCTCTCACTGTCAAAGTATTGCTTGGTGTTTAGTTGGAATCTCCTTTCTTGTGACTTGAAGCCATTGGTTCAAGTCCTGCCTTCCAGAGCAGGAGAAAACAAGCTTGCTCCATCTTCCACGTGACAGTCCTTGAGATATTGGAAGACAGTCATCATATCTCCTCTTTTCCAGGCTAAACATACCCAGCTCCTTCAACCATTCTTCATAAGGCTTGGTTTTCATACCCTTGATCATCTTGGTTGCCCTTCTCAGCACACATTCCAGCTTGTCAACATCCTTCTTAAATTGTGGTGCCCAGAATTGGACACTGTATGTCAGGTGTGGTCTGACCAAGGCAGAATAGAGTGGTGCTATTACTTCCCTTGATCGGGACATTATACGTCTTTTGATGCAGCCTAGAATAGTGTTAGCTTTTTTTTTCTTTTTTCTTTTGCATCACACTGCTGACTTACATATTGGGCACCCAGTGTTTCCTTACTTCCGGAATGGGGGAATCATACTTTACGCAGGATTAGTGGGTCTTTTGGTGGGTAGAAAGAGGGGCTTGCAACAGTTAAATAGCCTGCACTCTGTGCAAATAAAAAACCAGAAGCAGAGGTGTGTTCTGTTCCTTGATCCCTGCTTCTGTGTTCCAAGAAACTACATATTCAGCATGCACCAATGGTTTTTTATCCCACTTTACAAAACAGAAGTGTAACTCAACACAAAATGCTCTTGATGAATGCCAGGGTTTTTGTTAGGTAAAGGTAAAGGGACCCTTGACCATTAGGTCCAGTCGCAGACGACTCTGGTGTTGCAGGACTCATCTTGCTTTATTGGCCGAGGAAGCCGGCATACAGCTTCCAGGTCATGTGGCCAGCATGACTAAGCCGCTTCTGGCGAACCAGAGCAGCACACGGAAACGCCGTTTACCTTCCTGCTGGAGCAGTACCTATTTATCTATTTGCACTTTGACGTGCTTTCGAACTGCTAGGTTGGCAGGAGCAGGGAACGAGCAACGAGAGCTCATCCAGTCGCGGAGATTCGAACCGCCGACCTTCTGATCGGCAAGCCCTAAGCTCTGTGGTTTAACCCACAGTGCCACCCAGGTCCCTAGGTTTTTGATTATGTTACCCCAAAAATGTACCGATATTCAGGGGTGCAAGAGTGCTGCTACATGTTTCTAGTCCTTATAGGCATAAAGGCAATTTGAACTGCAAGGGGAAATGCCTACTGAAAATTGAAAAGCCAAAGGTGGTGGTGGGTGAACTAATTTTTTCACTGGCCAATGTGTCAGTGCCCTGCATAACTTCTTGCCCCTCCACAGGACAAGTAAATATTAAAATATCTCTCTGCATCCTAGGAAGAACATTGGAGTAAGAGGGGGAGCTCCTCCTGGGCATCGGCCAAAGGTGAAGCAGCTACAGGGTGCTGGACTCCTCCTTGGCGGAAAAAAACACTTCTAAGAAACACTGCAACTGAGAACTACTTTGCTGTTTTTCATCATCCCTTCCAACTGCTTTTCCTTTTGTGTCGTGGGTTGTACACTGTTAAGTCTGAGAGGAGAAACTGTCTTATTATTGATTGTTGTAAGATGCTCTGAGAGCCTTTTCTTTTTGGTTAATTAAATTATACAAAACAACTAAATTACAAAGGGAAATCATGCAAATTAGTTCAGTGAGCATAATTGATGACTGGTTGCAGAATTCATTTATTGAAGCACATAGGTTTTTTTCTTTGAGAGTATATGCATACCCCTTGCCAAACAATACAAATGAACAGAGCAGTCACAATAGAAATTATGTTTTGCAGATTAGGAAGCAGGTTGTGAGGTTTTAAACTGTGGGGGATTTTAGAGACCTGTAACTCATCTTTTTGAAGCAGGGAATGGGCTTGTGATGGCTTCATATTAAAGCTGTTTTGAAAGAATATATGTGCTGAGCTGGTGGAACAGCCCAAGGCATTTTGTACACGTTCAGTTCCCAATATATTTTCCAATGAGGAAATGTTTCTCACACATGGCTTTTCTTACAACCAGAAACAGACTTAGGTATCAATTCTGCATAAATGTCCAAAAGAGAAAAGGATATTTTGAAGGGCGGGGGGCAGTGCAAAGCAGACAAACTAGGCGGCCTATTGCACAGAGAAGGCAAGCAGCCCAGAACATCTGATCTCTTGATTTCAAAGTGGAGGCATAGATGAGCTAAAAAAATATATTAAAACAAAGTGCAAGAACTGGTGCTTCTTTTTATCTACAAAGGCTGCAGAGAAGTCAGTAGTAGGGAGGGTAAGGGTGAGTAGCAGATAATCAAAAATCCCTAAACAGAGTTGGTCCCTGTAAAACAAAGATATAAACCTGCTCAGCCACACACTACAACACAGAAAGAGAGAGAAAAGAAAGCAAACTAGGAAGGAGCTAAAGTAAACTTGGGAGCCTTTCCTTCAGCATAACAACTCCCTAGGCAAATCAGCAGAAGTTGAGACATCCTGCAACCCAAGGAACACAATGTAATTGCTGATGTGCAATACACAGGATTGTTTGTAAGCTATCCATTGCTACCCTACCCACTAAAATAACCCAGACACCCTTCATTCATATTCATTTGTAAGTTAAAGAGCTTTGCAGCCATTGTTTTATAGATAGATACACACACCCCCACACACACCCTTAATAGCCAACACATCTTGGGCAAGCACTATGGAGAAGCAGTAAGTCTGGAGGCAGGCCTTAAACAAAGCTGAAAAGGGGCCTATTAATTAACGAGATGTGCCTTAACAGCCTCTATTTATATCCCAATAGATTCCTTTGCTGCGGGAGGTGAAAGGGCTCAGCGCCCTATTGTGATTCCAAGTGCATCAAGCATGCAAGCTAGGGACTTTTCATTCGCAAGCAGACCTCTGGCCCCAGTCCATGAATTGTCCCATTGAGGGAGGCTTCAATAGCCCTCCAGAGTCTCCCTACTGTACAGCCAAAATAACCAGATTCCCAGCTGAGACTGCAGATGTGCCCTTTTTACCCATTACCTCAATAACAACACACAGGGATTTTTCTGCAGGTCTGATGTGCATAGCATTAAACATCCCGCACTTCCCTCCCAGAATAAACTCACATATGGGTACCAAAATACCAACACAACCACAGATTCACCCATCAGCATTGCACATCCATAACTGTCGCATGCAAGGCACAACCGTCAAGGCATCCTTGATTGGATTGAGCCCTGTATACTGGGCAGCCTCATCTATGCTATGAACGAATGAATCTTTATTTGCGCCAGCCTTCGGCCATAGCAGTAAAACAACAATACGATATACAAAGAATAGAAATAAAAAGTCAATTATATAAAATAAATGTTAGGGTTTTGAATCAATAGTCAAATAGCGGATCTTACTCTGATTGCCCCAGCTAAAAACCTTGCAACTTTTGCTGTCACCTGCTCATCTTGATCTGCCAAGAGAAAGGACATTGTGGCAGTGGTTGGGTGACCCGGAATGGACAATAAAAGAGGGGTGATAATCTCATTCCTCAAGTCTTTATAAAGAGTGCAAGCCAGAAGGGCATGCGCCACCAATTTGGTAATGCCGTCTCCACAGGGACATAAGCGTTTTTCATGTGGAATCTGTTGGAATCGTCCCTCAAGTACAGCTGTGGGAGATACATTCAATCCTGTGAGAGTAAAAGCACGTCTATATTTTCTAATTGCTAGGTTATGCAGATAGGGTGCCAGAGAGTCGAAATGGGAAGGTGGAAAATAGTCATACCATGGGCAAAATTTCCTTATTGTGGCCAAGTTGTTCTGACGCTCGATATCATTTAGGCGCTGGCAAATGAGACTGTTTGCTTTACTAAAACCCAAAGTGAGAACAGTAGCTGTTGTGGTGATAAACCACAAGAGTGAACTTTTTGATAGACAGTTTTAGTCCAGGCGCTCTTGCAGCACTAGGGATATTAGACCAGGGAATTTCAGTTTAGGCATCTAAGAGAGACAGTACCCATGTAGCTCTGGTATTCACATGCCCAAACTATCTCGCCAGGAGCCACTAGGAGGGATGACAACGGCCAAGGCCCACCATTGCAACAGCACCAGAACCAGTCATGAAATGGAGCAGAACCAGTCACGAAATGGTGTAGAACCAGTCACGAAATGGCGGCACAGAGATGGAGCCCGTTGTAAAATGGCCATGCAAGTAACTGAGCTGAGTAGGCCACTCTTCTTGCAGGGCATTGTGCAGCAGGTACCCCGTATTTTTCGCTCTATAAGATGCACCAGACCACAAGACGCACCTAGTTTTTGGAGGAGGAAAACAATAAAAAATTATTCTGAATCTCAGAAGCCAGAACAGCAAGAGGGATCGCTGCGCAGTGAAAGCAGCAACCCCTCTTGCTGTTCTGGCTTCTGTGATAGCTGCGCAGCCTGCATTCGCTCCATAAGACGCACACACATTTCCCCTTACTTTTTAGGAGGGAAAAAGTTGAGTCTTATAGAGCAAAAAATACGGTAATTGCAGCCCACTGGCGCTCCTTGCAGCCACGCACAATGACAGCCTGACCCACACCTCACAGGTTTGTCGCGAGGATAAAATGGAGAAGGGAGAACCCTTCCCCGCAAAGGAAAGAGGCTGCTGTGGTGGGTTTCCTGGCAGCAACTCTTAGGATTCCACTATGTTGCATGTGCAGAAGGCCCCTTTTTGGACTACACCACAGCCCAACTAAAGTATAGTGTTTATGAGCAGCATATGAGACAGGGTAGTGCACTGGCTTAGACGGACGGATTTGAATTTGAACCAGACCCAGGTTCAATTTCCAAAATTAAGCTGACTCTGAACCAGTCACCCTGCTCTTGGCCTCAACTGCTTCTCAGAGCTGTTGCAGAGCAGATCTAGAGGAGGGTCCCAAATTGATCAAGGTCAGGGAAGAACCCATAAAGATTTGAGCCAGGTCTGCCTGCCAAGAGAAGAAACGACTGTGCTGAAAAGCTATAATGATGTGAGCAGCAGTCAGTTCTTCCACTCCACAAGCACTATTTAACCAGGGAAGATAAGGAAAGCAACAGCAATTAGCCTATATGGAAAAGGAGCGAATTCTACAATGCAGATAGTAAATGGATGTGGCTTTGGTCCTGCTTACAGGAGGCTAGACCTCTAATCACTTGATATATTAGTAAATATAGATTGTAGAATACAGACACACACACTGGCTGAAGTGGAAATTGGGGTGTGCAGGGTGTTGGGGGAGGGGTAGTACCTCTGGTGGGGACACGTCATGCTCTTCTGAGGTAGTTTGTTCATCTTTGGTCCCCACCCTGCACTCAGCTGTGGCTCCTAGAAGCTGTCAGCAGCCACACCCCAGGAATGGCTTTGACTGGCCAGCTAAAACCAGGAAAGGGTAGCCGGTC